TAAATAATCCCTTAGATTTACAGGTAAACTGAAACACTTGAATATAACAAAAAAGGTTTATATACCCCAAATAAACATAGTGGAAAAGAAAGTAAGACCAGCAGTAATATCAGGTTTTATACCTTTAGATGACAATTTCATAAGTCACACTACAGTCTAATTCCTGGGGATTGGTAGCTGAACTTAACTGTCTAATATTAGGTTAAAGAATGTCCTCAGTTCATCTCTACAAGGAGTGGTTGCCAGTAAATATCTTAAATTTTCATTATTAGTTGGCAAGTAAATTTTTATACTTCTAGAAGAATAATTATGAGAAGGATTAGCAAAGTCAATGGAATTTTGCACAGTTACCACAAAGTCAGTGGGGCTGGAGCTACCCAGGATAAGAAAATATACAGAAATCTAGCTAATTTATAATTTGCAAGCAACACTAGTATTCTCTAATATTTTACTGTAATATTTTACCGCACATGGAAGAGAAGCTTCTTCTCTTCTATGGATATATGTTCCAGTAGCAATGCTGAGTGCCCTGTAAACACCTTCAACTGGATCAGAGTGGGAGGCAAAATAAAGTAGCATCTCAGTATAGTTGAGCAGAGCAGGATAATTTCTGGTATCAGCAAATAAAATGAAGAAAAACTATAAAAGGACAAAAATATATAAATTAATTTCTACAAGTTACTTTAATCAAATACAAGCCAAAGACTGTAGAGAAAAGGATGAAATAAAGTAATGACTGCTCATAGGTGATATTTCCTTTAAAAACATGTTGAGGCTGTGTAAATCAAGATAAACCAGAAGTGTTCCTGAGTCATTCAAGGAAACAGAAAATGTAGTATTTTTTTCTAGACTGGACTTCCACAGAACAAGAAGAAATTCATAAAAACTTGTATCATGATAAATAGGTCCAAAACATTTTCTTGTATTCACATCACACTATTACCTCACTCTTCCATGGAGACTTCCATGACTTTAGATTCAGGGATCATTTGCATCCCATTCTTTACAAAGCTGGTTACCATGTAGCAAAATCAATGTGCTTCAAAGGAGAACATGAATTGTTAAGTCTTTCTCAGTGGACTATGATCTAGGATACTGAAGGTAAATTTCTAGATTCCTTTCTACATTCTTTCTAACTTTGGGGATTTTATACAAGAAAATCATATTCTGAAGCACCACCTGACCTCAAAAATCACTGAAACATTGAAGCAGTTATGTAAAAAAAAAAAAAAAGACCCAAGAAACTTCTGAATGAGACCTCTTAGTTTAGAATAGTATCTTCAAAATACCTATGTTTTTAAAGTTACCTTTTTGAGATGTCTTAGCCTATCTAAAGGCAAAAGTTCTGTGCAACTTTCTGTTATGCTTAGTTCTTCATTTCCACTAAACCATAAGCCAACCTGATTAAAAAAAAAAAAGAAATCACACATTAAAATAATGCGGTCTTTATGCTCTGTAATTGTTCAACAGACAGATTACTAAGAATTTAATTCCTGGACTTAACCAAGCAGAACTTGTTATGAATAAACAATGACATCAGAATAATTACATAGGTGTTTGTACTTTGTAACAGATACTTTGGTAATCACTGAAAATGTAGTAGGATAGAAGTGAATCTGTGCTCTTAAAAAAAGCAAAACCAAACTAGGTAGTTGTAAACCTACACATTCCAAGAAACAGAATATGGTGCAGAGTTTCTATGTGTGTTTTGGTTTCTTCCTTTTAGGGTATCCTTTGCTACCCTACATTTTTTGTATTAATTGTACTTTGGAAGAAGGTGTCCGCATGCTTCAATATAACGAAGGCCAGAGGCATGGCTCTTCCATGCTTGCCTCCTTCCAACAAGACAAAGTGTCCTGTAATGTCTACAGAGCTATAACTACAACGGTGAATTAAAAGTGCCCAGAACCAATTCTCCAATACAAGACCCAATGCACAAGAAATATCCACTAGATTTTACCTTCTAAAACAGGATGGCCATGAACAGACTGCCTACAGAAAAACTCATTTGCTTGAAGCTGGCCCATGTTAAACCATGCCAAGCTGTGCAAACAACGTTTAAGTATGCACAACTGCGTACCATTACATGGGTGGTGTTCCCTAGCACTGTGTAGTTTACTACCAGTACAGGTGCAGATAGAGGAGCCAGCTGGGACACCTCAAATTTCCAGTGGAAGGTTCTTGCTGTTAATTCTCAATTAATGTTGTTCGTCATTGTTTCTTGTTAAGACAGTAAAATAAAATAAATAACATTTCATGACATTGTGAATGTATATGTCTCATTATTAAACAGAGAATGAAGTTTGTTTCCATTTTTATTGACCAATTTTAACATTTGAAAAAAAATCTCAGTATATTCCCTATTAGATTAATAGACTAATATGAAAGATTTCAAATAGTTGTAAATCTTCATGAATCACAGATGTTAATGAGACATGTGATACTCTTCCAGTGTAGGTATTAACTTAAAATATTGTAACAAAGCTGTAAATTTAATTAGCAACATCCTTTTCCACATTTCAGGTGAAATACTGAATTCTTGATTATATAAAATATGAATTATTATTATATGTTTAATTTACAAGGCAAAATAGAGGTGAAAACAGTAAGTTCCCAGAGATTTTCAGACAGGAAAAGAAATTAGTAAAGCTAGATTCCTGCTTTTACCCCATGTGAGTTAGCTGGGAAAACTGAGCAAATTAATAACAAGAAAACAGACTTCATGTTGTCTTTGAGATCTTTTCCAGAAATATATCAGATGGTTTGCTGTAGGTGATATGATTATAGTATCAATGATAACAATTGATGAATAATTATTTTAATAACTCTCTGCTATTGTTCTTTCCTTAATTTTATGGACTGCACTGACTCATTAATTTCCTAGTACACCATGTTCCACAGAACATGATTCATTATTTTTTCAAGAAAGAAAAAAAGTGTTAACCTCATAAAATTTGCCATAAATTGCTCAAAAAGGTTACAACAAACATTGCCATAAAAACAATTCAGATGTTCCTCATCAATTAATTTCAAATTAGAGGATGAAATTTTACTTAAGTCTGAAAAATTCTGTTCCTGTTCTTCTCATAACTGTATGTGCAAATGTTCCAAACTATAGTACTGTCAGTAACATGAACTGTAGTATACCATATACAGCAGATATACAGGGCTTTAAAGAGGTTTTTAAGTGAAGAAAGTTTTGGCTGTATATTCAAACATGCAATAGAGGTGACAGGCATTCCAACTTTTATTTGCAAGATGAATTGGTTGCAGAGCAAAATCTTCAGAGAAATGCAGACTGTTGAAGTGAGCTATGGGCCTACCTATATAGTTTTCTTCTGAAAAAGCAGCTCCAGCTGTGGAGTTACCTGTGCATTTATGAATATTTTAGTCCTTTTTAGTCTTTAAGCAACTGTATGAGACTGTAGGTTCAGTGTCAACACTCCTGTAGAAGTCTCGAAGAAGTAACAAGGGGTAGGTCTATAAACAAATGAGTACACACCATTGCATATTTACTATCATGGACTGAATGGGAGTCAATTTAGATTCTGAAGTATTGTCCAGTTAATATCACATTTGAAACAGGATCCTGTGTTTAAAATGTACATTCACAGCCTCTATATCTTCTAAGTGTTGGCTTATTTTTAAACTCTCACACTTCAATAAAAATTACCACGTCAATACAGAAATAGATACAGATAGACTTGCACATTTTTGTGGGTTTTCTGGCTTTGCAGAATTTGTTTCTTTGCGAGTCTGGGGTGAGTAGGGGTTGGCTGGCACTCCTGGAAGTTTTAAATTAATCAAACTAGCTCTGAAGCTGACATGCTTCTGAAACAACGCAGCCTCTATTGCATTTTTGAAGAAAACTAATGCAAAGTCATTGGAAAACAAACTGCAGTAAAGGTTCTAGGAAATGTATTTAAAACTGTATGAAATTTATTTTAATATCACCAAACAAATACAAGCTGACAGCTGTAGAACTTTTGTGTATACATGCACACACTTAAATATACATGTAGATATAGACATATACATGATATATGTGTCTAGTATGCATTAAGAGAGTGAACCAGCAATTGTTCAAAGTATGACTAAGAATCCAAAGTAAAAGTAAGCGAAAACTTAATAAGCACAATTTTGCTAAGAGAAGAAAAGTGTATTCTTAATACACTTCCATGAAACTTGCTTCCCATAAAACTTTGCTGAACTATGTGACAGTTCAAATAGAAGTTGTCTTTAGAGAAAAGATCTAAGAATTGTATAATTTTCCATGTATTCAAGGTCTGAAAAACAATTTTCATTTGCGAAAATTCCTTATTGTAAGAATTCTAGAAATACTTAATTAAAGTGGAACTGATGATCCCAAACTAAAATACTTATCTCTGCCTGGACCACATATTTTTGTCCTATAGATACAGTGTCAGACAAGTCAATAGTAGCTAAAGTGCTCACAGAGTAATTTCTTTAGAATAGGGAGGATTTTCACTTGAAATTAATTTATGGGGAAAGTAGGAAATTGAAGTAAAAACTAAGCTTAGGTAGCCTGATTTGTGGAACTATGGATAAGATAGATCTAAGCCCTCCATTTTCTGAAGACAATTTTGACTAGAAGGCACCTCAAAACCCAAAACATTTAAAATTCAGACTGAATTTCTTAATGTGAATAAACCCAACAATACATCATTCAAGTCAGAGGGTTTAACAAGAGAGTATAATAAAAAGAGAAACTAATTATAACCTGCATGTAGCATTCCTGTGTAAGAAGGCCCGATCCAGCCACGTCGACAGACTTGAAGCTGTGTAGCGTTTTGAGAAGCTGTGTGACGGATGCGCCGCGCCCCCCAGCAAGAGTCTGCGCCAGTCGGTGAGCTCTGAGTTCACTGAGAATGCAGATGCCAGATTTTGCAACTGTAAAAAAAAAAAAAATATATTGTCAAATATACATCCATAAACGAACACTTTCTATATACTGTGTATCCTTAGGTTTTCTTCCTGGTTAGGATGGACAAGGTTCTGCAGTGAGATTCACAAGGTGTGTAATGGACATCTAGCGCTAAACAAAACAGGCCACAGACCACAGTCTGTCACTGAGGCCAACTGGCAAGTGCAGTTGATAGCCCTCTAAATACTGTGCCCCCCTAAACGGGGGTCAGCACCTAAACTGCCTGTCAGATAATGGCCCTTAGCCCATGCTGACCCCTGAATCATGCTCCAGCTGGGAGAACACTAAGAAGTGAACTGACAATTCAGCAGCATGAGTACAAAATCTAGCACATGCTTGGGCCTGTGCCTTGGCCCTGCTGTGCTTACGCTTACAGGGTTCATCACCTGGCTTTTCTCCGCTCCAGCATTAAGTTAGAGAAAGTTAGTAATAGAAAAGCTGCTTTGTAGCTTGCCACGTGTGTATTTTTACCACTTGTCCTGGCTTTAGTCAGGACAGAATTAATTTTCTGCACAGTGGCTGCTATGAGGTTGTTTCGGATTTGCCCTGAGTACTGCTAACACTGCTGGTTTTAGCTGGTGCTGGGGAGGGCTTACACCAAGTCAAGGACTTTTTTGGTTTCTGATACTGCACCTGTGTTCCCTACTTTTTTGCTACAAGCAGCTGGGGGGATACATACAATCCAGACACCTAACCCAAACTGACCAAAGGGTCTTCACAGAACGTCATGCTCAGTATATAAGTTGGGGATGGGCTGGGACACCATGTTAGTTTGTTGGTTGGCTTTCTCCAGTCTGAAGTCCGAGAAGGAAGCAACGTGCTTACAGTAATAATGGGCTGGGATAACACAGATTGAGACAATTTGGTAATGTTGTAGATGTCATCTACCCTAACACTGTCAGATGCTGCTTATTATAAGTTGAAAGCTTATCTGAAATTCCATTAAGTCACATGATGGTGAGTTCTGTTCAGAACAGCTGTGCAAAATAAACATACAACTTAGCTTATGCTTATGTGTACCTTTTTGTATGTATGTTTTTGCTTTCAGCATAGATTTAAAAGTCTCATTTTACAATGATGATTTTAAGGAAAGGAAAATCTTTTATTAAAATAAAAATAGCACTTATAAGAACTCAGCGTTCTCAAAGAATAAAGAACATGGGATACATGCACATGTGGTCTTTTAATAAACAATGTTTGACTCATAATTTTTCCCATATAATTAATTTCCTTTGCTAAGATTAGATTTTTATATACTGATGACAGCTGTGCCTAGGTTTCACTAAACTCAATGGAAATCCATCTCTCAGAAACTTTAAAATGGTTTACTCATGCAGTTCATATGGGTGAAGAATATTTGAATAAAGCTATTTCACTCACGTAAGATCCAATTAAAATCTTAATGTGAACCATGGCTTATTGTCAGAAATAATTATCAAAATATGTTAAGAGAAGTAAACCTTTTCATCTCATAGGCTTACCAGCAACATATGAAAGTAAAATTAATCAGAGAACTCAGTGATGGAAGAATTGGAATGACTAAATATTTCATGTTATAAATCTGAAAACCTTTGGTAAGTAAGTTAAAGGTCACACAGCTCCAGATTTTATTCTTCTTTCTTGTAATGAAGAACATAAATAGTCTTGGTGTCTAAGGAACTGAAATAATTTGAAAATAGTAAATAAGTATAGTGCTGACAAAAGCATTTTATTTCTGGCACAGTGGCTTCCAGAATTTTTCTCTAGTGAAACAGAAGAATTTTATGGAAACACCGGTAATTCCCTATAATAGTTATACTCTTGACTTTATCATAGTAAGGGTAATAGTGCATCTACTACACAAACCAGTACTATAGTTGAAATGAAAATAGGGGTTAACTTACATCCGGAAGCGTTAAGTTCATCCATGCATCAGCAAGGCAATTTGTTCCAAGATTCAAATTAATCAAGTCAGTAAAAATGTCAATACACACTTTCTTTTGTATGAAACCTAATAATAGAAAGTCAATATACAAAAAACTGTATTTACCATTTTAAATAGCTCTCCTTTTTTTTTTATTAAAGGAAATCTATTTTTTATTTTAATGGACATCTAAAAATTATTTATTTTGCTATTATGAACTATTGATAGTGGTAATATTTTTCCAGCAAAATATAAAATTTTCTCATTTAAAATAAGTCATGTGTGGCCTGTCTAATAGCAAAACGTGAATTTTCTCAATACACTGCAGTCTCAAGATACTTGTCCTGATCTGCATTGTGATCACTAACCCATCCTCACACAGTCTACAGTGACTATTAACGAGCAGTTCACAAATTACCAATCACACACATATATTCTGTGTACTGAGTATCTACCAACCTTTTCTTTCACTGTATCACATTTTTCTCAATCCTGAATATATCTCTGCTCTTGAAAACAAGTGTGTGTTAGAGAATAAGTTGGAAAACACAGACCACTGTCTGTTAAACACTGAAAAAAAATTGGATTACTTAAAAAGCTTCTCAGAATTGGTTTGTGGGAGCTATAAATAGCTCTATCAATTTTATCTTAAATCATAAGATAAAAATAAGTGAGGGTAACAAAACCTATTTGTTTATCAAAACACGGCGTGGATTTGCTTATAGGCAAATAGAATCTTCAAATTCCACACACAGTATTAAAACACAAAATGGTGATACAGAGGATTCCCTATCCCCTCTGCCTGCCTGAGCACCGTGACTTAAGGGACGGGGCAGTGGTGACAAGTTCCTGCCCAGCGCAGCCAGTGCCTCTCCTCTGTGACCACCCCACCCCACCTGCGTAATAGGGATGAGGGTCTGCAAGTGGAGCCAAACAAGAATGAGGGTGATGGTCCATCTAGCTTGGAGGTGTCACCGAGGTTCAGTCGGCCTAGGCCCTGCATCAAACCTGCTTCCCTAAGGAAAAACAGACGGGTCACTGTCACGGGAGACTGACTCCTGAAAGGAGGTTGCAGAGAGGTGGGGGTTTGCCTTTTCTCCCAGGTAACAAGTGAGAACAAGAGGAAATGGCCTCAAGTTGTGCCAGGGGAGGGTTAGATTGGATATTAGGAAAACCTTCACTGAACAGGTTGTCAGGCACTGGAGAAAGCTGCCCCAGGGTGGTGGTTGAGTCACCATCCCTGGAAGTATTTAAAAGACGCGTAGATGTGATGTTTAGGGAGGTGGTTTAGTGGTGTACTTGGCAGTGCTGGGTTAATGGCCGGACTTGATCTTAAGGGTCTTCTCCAACCTAAATGATTCTATGATTTATCAGACAGATATGAGTCTTTTCTTGCAGAAACAGTCTTTGGTGGCTAAGTGAGGATTCACTGCAAAAGCTCTGCAGTTATGACAACTAATAAAGTAAATTTCAAATTATCTAAATTTTGAGATACAAAGCTGATTTGGTCAGGTTATGATCATTTTCATTGCATCAAAACCATGAGTTTTCTGGTTACCTTTAAAAGCGAACACCAACAGTGAAATACCCAAAGAACTTAATTCTTTTCCTTTTACAGCCAAACTTCTTGTCCTTTTTGAAAAGACACAGCTGTGTACATTATGTGGCTAACAAACTCTTTTCTTCAAAATGGAACAATAACGTGAATTCTTTAAGTTTATGAAGAAAGATTTAAGTGGTAAGAATATTAAGAATGTGTTTGAATATTAATTTCACAATGTCATTACTAAAAATCAAGTTGCCAATTTGAATTAACAGAAAAACCAGGAGAGATGTCCTCAGCACATATTAATACAGCAGAGAAATCCTATACATATATGCATATATAAGCTTGTAGAGAAGAGGAAAAACATAGATTTGGGAAGCTTAAAGTCTGCTGGGGCAGGAAAAAAGGAGTGGAGAAATACGAGGACCTGAATCCTTATGTCCTACCATACATTTCGGCATGGAAGCAAAAGCTGGGCAGATATACTGACAGGCTGATAACAGTCCTCTGATGTCACCTCTGGGAAGGTTTTTGAGTTACCTACTTTGAGAAATAATATTTTTAAAATCATGTGCGTAAGGCTCTTTACTGAAGCACCTTGGACTGGTGATTAACTAGTTTTAAGGTAACCAGAAACTTGTATTTTGACACGTACTTCAAGCTACAAGAATCACATGATTTCCATACAGCACAATAAAATCTACATCACCAAAGTATCATTACTGGGAGACTTCACAGACTATTCAATAAAACAGGTAATATTTTAGTGGTTCATGGGGAGAGTAGGCTATGGCCCACTAAGGAGACAGTGAAAACTTTATATTAAAATAACAGGAAAAATGTTTCCATCTTATTTGTAGTCTCAAATTGTTTAGTGCTTTCCCTTAAATAGACCAGCTATCATAATTTCTATTTCATGTTTTATTAAATATTTCCCTTTCCACATCTGATCCCTAGAACGCTGGCAATCTTTCACATTATCTTATGGTGTAAACTGTTCAGTTCCTACTATGATTTCCCTATATGACAATAAAATTGCTGTTCCTGTACTTCCTATGAGCTTCTGGCTTCTTAAAATTAAACTGAATTCTGGTTTTCTGCACAAAATTCTAAAAGGATACTAATATCCTCATGTCATTTTTTGTGATGTTACATGACTTCAAGTGATAATGTCTGAAACGGGACTAAAGGATTTGAGTCCAAAACATTCATTAATCACAATGTATAGAACTTTGTTTGGATTGTAGAACATGCTAGAACATGGTTTTCAGGTTAATTTGCCGTTAGTTGATGTAAGTCTATGGCAAACATGAATTACTGTGAGATACTTAAGCACTGTCAGGTGATCTGCAGTGTCAGAGAATCACAGAATGGTCAGGGTTGGAAGGGACCATTGGAGATCATCTAGTCCAACCCCCCCGCCCATCCTTCTTCCTCTGTCGTAATTGTGAAGAAACAACCCTCTCATTCAGAGATAAACTACTTTCTATCTATTAATTATGGAATTGCTGAAGTGCTGCAGGTCAATTTCTTTTACTTTACTACCTCCCTCTGAAACATCTGATGTGGGACAATTCCAAAGTGTCTTCAAAAAGATGTAAAAGTTAAAACTTCAAATGGAGTGTGATCTAATTCCTCCTTGTCACATACAGGAGGAATGAGGAAGACTTACAGGGAGAGAGTAAATCCTTCATAAGCATATAAAAAAGATATCAAATAACTTTTTTCATGCATTTTTAGATATTTCGTTGAGATTTAATATACTTAAATCTAGGCAGATTTTATGCGTTATAGAGCATGGAACTGCTTTGGAATATCTGACTATATTACAAGGCAAAAGGTGATTCACCAATTTAATTTAGGGGTTGCCAATGCTTTATAATCACAGAGACATGCTATGAGTGGGCAGCTACACAGATGGTGCTCAGAAAAGAATCATGGTGTCTGCTAATGGTACACAGCAAGTGGTAAAAGGAAATAATGCTCTCTGGGAAAGAATAGGAAAACAATTCCCAGAATCGTCTCTGTCCACCTAAGAAGACTGGTTTCAAAACAGGTATGCTTTTTACAAAACCTTTTTGTTAAGTTCAACGAAAAAAAGAAACCAAACCAAACTGGGGTTTTTTTGAATGATGTAGGAGACTGAATAGAAGATGAACTTGTTAAATGTGTAGCAATACTTTTAATTAGAAGGGATAGCAAGCAGTTTGGAAAAAGAATCAGAATTCAAAAATATTTTGAAAAACTGGAGAGATCAGCAAGTAAATTTCACAGGAACCTGATGAAAGTACCTGAAGGAAACAGACTGCACAAATTAATACACATTACATTGCAGATAAAACCAATCAGGAAAGAATGTCAAGCGCACTGGAGAACATGATTAGAATTCAAAGTGAACTTTACAAATTGGAGAAATAGTCTGGTATAAAAAGGACACTGTAAGAATAAATGTCAAGTGCCACAGCAGGCTGAAATAATGAACTGCATAAATGTCACAATGGTCATCTTACTGCCAAAGTAAAATTTGTGTAGAAAAGGCTCTAGCGATCATGGCAGATTACAGTATCACTAGGAAGTACATGGGAAGACACTGGAAACAATCTTGCATTCTTTTCAGCTGTTAAGGCTTCTTCTGGCATGCAGTTTTGGAATCTGCAGATCTAGAAGGATGTATGGAATCTATGAATGCTCAGAAGATGGCAGCAAGAATCATCACAGGCTTAGAAAATGCCCTGAGAAGGAAGGTTGAAGGAGTTCTGCTAGTTCCATCTAGCAAAAGGAAGATTATGAGAAAACATATCAGGAGTTTTCCAGTTAAAACCAAATGTTACAAAGAGGATAGGGATCACACCCTCTCCACAGCTGCAGTTAGAAAGAATGATAGGAAATAAAGTTTCTTTGAAGCAAAAATATTTCAGACAGTAGTAAAAAACCATCTACTCAGAAGGACAGCAAAGCACTAAAGGAAAACAAACCACACATGCTACAGTGAACTGTTTTAGAAGGTTGTCAAAAAGGAACAAGGAGGAAATTCTGGATACAGATTAACTAAACTTGATTCCAGTTTTAGACATGGATGACTTCTTGACATCCTTTTCCAACTACTTGTTATGATACTAAGACTTTTCTAGTGTTTTTCCAAGGGCAATATATCTCCAATCCTAATACTAAAAATGCGACTCTTCCCTCATGCATCATGGAAGTGACTTCAGTGTTATAGATTTTTTTTTTTTACTCTGTTCATTGTCTTCTGTTGTTGGATGTCCTGGGGACACATTTTCAAACATTTAAAATATCATCATAGTTAAAATCTTCCCATTTAAAACCTTTGAGGGGAAAAGCTTATGACTTTTATATAAAGTAAAGTATATAAAGTATTATATGACTTAAAGAGAAAATCCTTAGTATTAGCAATGCCACGTATCTTATAAGGTACCCTGTATAATATATATCCTGCTGCTTATTAGGTAAAGTATAACTAAACTTTTTTTTTTTTTTGAGAAATCACAAATGAAGATATTTTAATGAGGGATATTTTATA